ATGTAACCGAGAGAATGCGGTCATTTTTCAAAATAAAAGATCGTTCAGACTCAGATAATAAATAAAACGGAAATAATTAATGATTTCTTGTGCGGCCCGGTACCAATTGATCCACGGACCGGTACCGGTCCGCGGCCCGGGGGTTGGGGACCACTGGTTTACAGCATTTTATATTAATACAATTGCATTTACTATATTGTCACCAGTTATCTGTTTACACTGCAGCTTCTAATACATGAATAAACACATATCTACTTACAATCGTTATAAACCACTTATGTTTTTTTTTTTTTTTTTTTTTTTTTTTATAAATGCTAAATAGAGAGGACTTAAAATGTTACAAAGAAGTCCTTAAAGTGTTCAGCAAAACTGATGTTAGCAGCTACAACTTGGCAAATTCCAGAAGATCATGTGAGATGTTCGAAAACCTTTGACCATTGGAGCATGTGGTGAGATTGTTTTGTCAAGGTTAATACATGATTTGGATTTGTGTTTCTCATCAGGTGTGGTTTGCGCAGTGGATATGTGGAGCTGGTAAATGTGGACCCCGCTGTTATGAAACACATTCACATACTGTTCTCCAAAGACGGCTGTGCTCCTGTTCTGGGTCAGATTGCCCTGGATCTGATGATGAACCCTCCACAGCCAGGAGATCCCTCACACCCCCTTTATCATATGGTCCTGCTTTTCTGCATTTCTTAAATTTAAAAATGATTTTACTCTAGGGCCCAGGTCAATCAGTGTTTTGTTCTTGCCTTTCACACTCTCTTCTGCAGGAGACACAACATATCAGGACTACATGGGTTCATAATGTGAAGAGAGTGTGTGAGGTTATAAACAGTCTGCCAGGCTTCTGCTGCCAACCAACTGAAGGAGGATCGTTTTTGTTACCCAGACTCTATCTTCCACCTAAAGCCATTCAGAAAGCGCAGGTTACCTACCATCTTACATTGTAAACCAGAGTAGGACAATCATTAAAAGAAACTGTCACATCTTTGGTTTAATCAGTCCTAAAATATCTTAGATCTGGTTACATTTTTGCTTATTTTAGGAGGTGGGAATGCAGCCAGACATGTTCTACTGTGTCAAACTGCTAGAGGAGGCTGGTGTGTTAGTCAGTCCTGGTTGTGAGTATGGACAAAAGCCAGGCACCCACTACATCAGGTATAATACTGCAGATAAATCAAGCGTTATTATTCCAACTAAAGCCAAACACTAGGTTTTACAGACAAAAGCACATTTACTAGTAAACGGTTTGTTAAAAATTAGTGGTAAACTTCATAGAAGAGCTGAATTTTTCAAAAGGCCATTAAATATAACTGCACATTGTAGGTCTGTAACTCTTCTTTCTTTCTGCAGATTTTGCATTACGACACCTGAGGACATCAGGGAGGAATTCCTGAAGCGCCTGACCAGCTTTCACGTACAGTTTATGAAGGATTTTTCTTAAAGGCAATCGAGTTGTCTGCTGTATGGTGATTCAGCGCAGTGAATAAAAGTATCCAATCATTTTCCTCATGTTGACATGTAAATATTACAATAAGTGATATTAACTGATCAGATTCAGACAAAAGCCCTAAGAATCTGCTGGGGAGCTTTTAGAACACCACCTATCCTGTAGCTTTACTTGTGGAAATGGGGAAGTCCCCACTAAGAATCAGGAGAATAAAAGCTGTATAAAATGACCTTTCAGACAGTTATTTATTCGATTATGTACATCAAATTCAGGCAGACTAGGTGCAGAATTTCATTAATAGACATAAAGATCCTGTCTCAGGAAAAACTGCATTTCAGATGCATGTGGCTAATGTGGATGGGAATTCATCAAACAAATAATTTATCTTTCTCTGCTTAACCTGTGGCATTTTTATGGGCTTTGTGGTGGATTAAACTTGTACCTACCCCCCCCATAGAGCCTGTCAGAAAACTGTTATTATTATTATTAGTAGTAGTAGTAGCAGTAGTAGAAGTAGTTTAACATCCTCTGGTAGAGCACTGAACCTATGACAGAGACAGACTGGAAACAGCATGAGGTTACTCATGTCCCTTCAGAAGTGTTGGTCCTGGTAAATTTTCAACACTTTATTTTAAATAGTTCTGTTTAGTGCAGCACAATAAGTCCTGAATTAAGAACTTAATATTTCTGACAAAACAAAAAAAATACCTATATAGCAAATGCTAACCGTCATCATTCCACATCACTGTCACTGTTGTGATTCTGGGCAAAAGGGTTTGAGTCAGTATTGTTGAGCAGCTCCACAAGTAAAGAGATGAGCTTTCCATCTTGAGAAGCATAGGTGGCTGCGTTGTTGGGATTGTTGAGGTTTCGGTACAGCATGGTCTGAATGGAAGTGCGCAGTTCCCACAACAGCCACCATGTCTCAACTGACAACTCACAGCGCATCAGAGAGCGTCCAAGAAATGACACTTCCACTCTGTCGCCATTCACTGGGATTAAAGAGAAAATAATTATGAAGATAGGTCTCTGG